TGCAAGGTCCCTCACCCTGTCCCCAGTCTGCTGCTGCTGTTTGGTTTCATTTCCAGACTGCCGTGGGGGTGGGGGGCGAAAACTGTGGCAATCTGAGGGGAGGGGCCGGCATAGGGCGGGCCTTCTTGGGCACTGCTGTCTTGCTGCTGTCATTGGCTGGGGACAAGGAGGCCACCAGAAGGGAGGGCTACAGTTATCAAAATGTATATGGATAGACAAATGCCCACCAGAGACAAAGACAGGCAGACAGACAGACAGTAAACCAAGACAAAGGGGAGTCAGAGACAGAATTCTAGACTTCCTTTCTTTGGAGGTACCCTGAGTGTTTTGTCCCCTGCTTTAGCTTCCCTGTCCCCATTGGCTGGGTTGACTCAACTGCAGTCTCAGAGCTCCAGCTCTTGGACTCTGGGACTAACTCTGAGCCCCTCTGAAGAAGGTTAAGAAGAGCTGAGAGGTGATACCCAGCAGGGAGCGCTTCATGGGGTGGTGCCGGGTTCTGGGTCAGAATGCCCAGCCCAGCAGGGAGTGGTGCCCTCCCTGGTTCATGAGGACAGGAGACTCATTCACTGTAAACCAAGTACAGATGTGCTGGGAAGGAGAGGGGGAGATTAGGGCCACATTCCCAAACCGCAGCTGGGCCCGCCCTCCTTCCACCAGCTCCCACCAGGGCAGGACAGGAGGGGTTAACTCTGCAGCCTCCTGGCAGAATCCCTGCCACACAGGCGGGGCACCATCCCACCCCAGCCTGGGCGCCTGGGTCCAATTCCCTGACACCCGCCCCTCCCACACTGCTGAGAGCTGCTCCCAGGGTAACCAAGCAATGTCAACAGCAGCCAGGCCACCTGGGGACAGGACCCTGGAGTACTTATTCCCAGCTCTTCCCACCCCTGGAGTGAAAGGGAGGGCTTGTCTGTACCCTTCCCCCACTGACGTCTCTGTTCTCTGGAGATGACCACAGTACGTCTCTTCTTCCCAGCTCCTTCACCTGACTCTGGCTACCTCCCTTCCTGGGAGGTGGACAACTGGCCCCCAGGGTGTCGGTGAGGACAGAGCAGAGTAATTCCAGTACGGAAAATGTGATGTGACCCTGGAGTCCATGTCCCAGGTGCTGGCCACCCTGGGGGTGTTGCCAACTGGGGAAAGTCCTCCGTTACTCCAACCTTCCAGCCTAGCCCAGCCCCGATAGCGCTCCCTCCCTCCTATTTCTCCGGAGTGTTTGGGGTCCTGTCACAGAGCTTGGACCTCAGGACTCTCTGTAGTCAGTAGAATGGAGAGCAAAATTGCTGGGTTCCCACTTTAGGACTGAGTCTGAGTCTGTGCTGGGAAGTCAGGTAGAGTATCCCCATCGGACAAGACATTGCCGCGGAGCGAGCACTGCGCGCGCGCGAACACACACACACGCACACACACACACACACAGAGTCAACAACATTCGTGGCGCATCTACCAGGCAGGCAGGCAGGCCGGTGCTGGCTAAAGCAGACACACACACCCTCTGCCTGGGTTTTCTCCCTCACACCCAGCCCAAGGCTCCTCCCACTCCCAGCTCCAGTTCCTCCTACCCGGCTCCCCAGCCTCTGCCCGTCTGATTCCAAGCGTAAAGGTGGGGACGACACTGGCATCAGGGACCCAGGAGCCCTAACTCCTGCCGCTTACCTCAGGCAGGGTGAGAGGGAGGCCGGCTGTAAGTGGGGGGGGAGGCCGGGTGTAAGGGGGGGGGGGGGAGCTCAGCACCCCCCCCACAATCCCCACTAGTTAAACCAGTTTGCTTCTAGGACCGAAGGACTGTCTAGGGTAGACAAGGGGAAAGGAGAGGCAGACTTGCAGGTGAAGGCTGAACAAAGGGTGAGGGCAGCGGCGTCTGCCCTGGCATACTCCTGGCCATCACTCCACCCAGGGGAGGACATGGCTACAGCTCCCATTGCCTGCCCTAAGGGGGTATGAGGCTGGCCTTGCAGAACCACAGCCCGCCTAGGGACAACTCAACCAGTCCCCTCGAATGGTAGGACGGGGAAAGTGCCAGAGAGAAAGGGAGGGCATCGCGGGGTTCAGACACTGACCTCCTCTGCCAGTCTTGCCCGGCCTCCACGGGGATGGAGCCATAGAAGCCCAGCGAATGGGAGGGGCAGAGACCCAGGCGTCCCGGGCCGCACC